AGATGATCGATAGGGAGTGTCTGAAGTGACAAAGGGGTAATGGAGAGTGGTCTGTGGTGTGTGTATATATAAGAGAAAGTTAATCTCCTCTCCTCCACGGAAATGTACCAAAACGTTGACTCTTTCTACTTCTACATTCCCCTCCAACACCCACACCCACAAAAGACAACATAAAAAAAAAAAAATTATTTGCAAATATAAAATCATATATGATAAAGTTAATTTGCACGATCATAGACAAAATCCACTCGTTCATCATCATAATTAAACATATAAATTTGTTAAGAGTTTTGTGATTTATATTTTCGGGTTATATATATATCAAAATGTTTATTTTTTACAATATTTTGGCATTCCACTACTAAATATATATAGAACCGAATTCTTTTTGTATCAGGGCCTCTATGGATGCCAAAATCAGGCTAGAAACACAAGCCAATGAATGTGGTAATCATGTGACACATATGAGATGTGGAGGAGATTTTTTTGACTTTGAAGTCTGGCTATCGCTGGCAAAAACCCTACTCACCAACCAACCGTACGTCCTCAATGTGAGAAGTTGGTAGGGTAGCAATACCAATTTAACTTCTCCAACAAACCCTAGGACCAAAAAAATTGACCCTTTCGTGTCTTTCTACGGACAAAACCCAAAAATAGTAAATTTTGGAAATGGTTATATGGTAACTAGTATTCAATTATGTTTCAACAGGTGTAAATTAGAGTCAGAGATCTTTGTAGACTGGGCATAAACCTCTCGGCCATAGTAACTTTAAAGATTAGTTGTAAACGCTCACAATTATATTTTTAGGTAAATAGCTTACATCTTGAAAATATTGTTCTATGTTTTATAATGAATAAACAGAAGAAAAAAAAAAGTTAAAACTAACAGACCAACCCGCAAAAACTGTAATATTAGAGCATGAGGGTTAGGATTGGGTCATTGTGGGATGAATTTAATAAGTAACTCGGCTTGACACCAGGCCCCTAATATAAGCTTGATTAACTTCTTCTCTCTTTTTTTTTTGTTTTGACTAAGAAGCTTCAAATCTTTGCTTCATATATATAATTAATCCTCTATAGTTTGACTCTGATAATACTCAATTACTCATGATTGATACGTTACCGCAAGTGCCATATGATGATTGAACTAAACACCCGTTTCACTGGTTGAAATGTAACCGCAAGTAACAAACTTAGCTAGCTTTGAATACTCCAGTGTATGTGTTTCTATATATATATCACCATAAAAGCTATTTAATGACAAACGAACGACCAGTTCGAGACCGGTACATATAACCCGGTTTAGATAACTGAAATGGTATAGGCATATGTAAACCAAGTTTTGATCAGAAATTGCAGAAATGTGAAAAGGACATGTCACCAAAGTAGGGACTATGACATTAAGAAGGGAACCAAATCTGTAGTGTTTGGGTGTTCATGGGTTTGTCTTTTGCTCTTGTAGTTCACTTCTTTTTTCCTCTCTCAGTTATACTCTACTTCTTGGAGGTTAAAATGTGAAACTCCATTCATATCACATCAAGGAATATGTCTTATATATGCAATAATGTCTTATATAAACAGCGAGTGAGTTTTTCCTATTGGAGAAAGAGAAGAGGTCAAAAAAGGAATCATAACAACTTGATTTGGAGGACTTGATGGACAGGGAATTGAATAAGTGGGGAAGAGTACTATATAGTGATGAGATAATAATTAATTGATAAATAAATTTCAAATGGAATTTTCATTGCAGAGTGGCACATGTGGTGATTAATAAGATATTGGAATTGAGAGAGATGAGTACCACTCTTCATTTAAAGCGGCAACTTGTGTGCCCCTTTTTCTTCATTACAGAACCATTTATGTCTGATACTCGCTCGGTTCCACAAAGAATGAGTTTTTTACGCATATTAAAAA